TAAAAACTGAAAAGATGAAAAGGGATGACCCGTAATGATATAAAGTTCAAACTATCAAGAAGACATACAATCCTAAATGTGTATGTACTAAGCAACAGAGCTGTAAATTCGTGAAGAAAAAAATTGATAGAACTGAATGAGGAGTGGGCAAAACCACCTCTTCATCATCATCTCAACAACTGATAGAACCAGGCAGGAAATTAGCAAGGATACATAAGGACTCAGGAATACCATCAACCATAGCAGCTAATGCACACAGGATCTAACCAGTACTCCACTAACAACAGCACACTGCATACACAATCTTTTCAAGTGCCTACAGGCACTTCCCTGTAGAGAAGTTCAACTCTTCTGCTCTGCTCTTACTTCAGGACCAAGATCTCATCTGAAACTACTCAATACTTCTCTTTTATTCTAGCTCCATTTATTCCTTCTACTACTCCTCCTGGAGTGGTCCCCATCCTAATATCAAGACCATATGCTGAGCCATAAAGCAAATATCAACAATTTAAAAAGAACTGAAGATATAAGAAGTATATTGTTTGATTATAACATAATCAAATTACACACTACAACAAAGAGGTAACAGGAAAATCTTAAACTACTTGTAAATTAGATAATATACTTTTCAATATACTACATAGAACGAAATAAAAAATTAAAATACAACATATGAAAACTTGTGGGATATAATTAGGAAAAAGAAAAGTTTTAAGTCAATAATCTAAGCTCCTACTTCAAGAATCTAAAGAAGAGTAAAATAAACCCAAAGTAAAAAGGAAATAATAAGAAACAGAAATCAATGAAATTGAAAATAGAAAAATAAAGGAAAGAATTTAGTAAAACAAAGTTGGTTCTGTAATATCTATTGCGTTAATAGGGTTTAGGCACTAAGCATCAATGACTACTGACATCATAAAACAAGGAAATTTTACTTTATGTGTTTGCTAAAAACACAAAACTAAATCTAATTAATTGCCTAGATCCAATTACCAATTTCCGAAAAGGAAACTATTAAATGATGCCACAGAAAAGTAAGGAGTAAAATCCAGTCTCTAAGAACCTCTGCAGAACTAATGTCATGGTAAGCAAGCACACAAACAAATGGAAGAAAAGGAATGGAGGGAAACTATATACTAAGAGAAGTTTAAGAAAAGCATATGCTAAAAAGGCAAAACTACACTTATTACTTGGATGATAAAACCAGACAGAAAAGAAATGATTGTCATAAATATTCAGAGGAGTGGCTACTCTTAGTGGAGAGGATAGAAAAGATTTTGGCCTTGGATCTCAGAGGTATTCTCCAATCAAGTTTTACTAGTAATTAAGCAAATATTTAAAATTCTACCTTATATCTCTTGTCTATTTCTCAGCTGACTCAGAGCTTATAGAGGTGGGCTATGTAATGATAATCTCCAAACCACAACAAAACCCAGAGAATATGCAAGCCTGAACTACTTAATAAGAGATTAAACAAAAGAAAATACATATAGGGCCGGGATTGTAGCTCAGTGGTAGAGCACTTGCCTAGCACGTGTGAGGCACTGGGTTCAATCTTCAGCAACACATAAAAGGAAATAAAAATAAAGGTTAATTGTGTCCATCTACAACTAAAAATATAAAAAAATATATAAGAAAACACAATTTTCTCTTCCTTTACTAAGTCAACAAGGAAACTGAAATTCTAGTTCATAGCTAGAGTCTGGGTTGTCTTGTCATCTGATGATCATGGAGGGTAGGCAGTTTGATAACTCAGAGTCATAAAAATAACATAACCCCTCTAAGAAAAACTTTAAGATGTGGCCAGAATTATGGTCTTCTGAACCTAATAGGCATAGTAAAAAAAAATCTTTAAAAATTTGAAGTTATATGAACCTATCTGATTATAAAAAAATACTATGAAGCAGCTTACAAATATAACAGATAAAATTTATATAACGTCACCTACTCAGGCTGGGGTTGTAGCTCAGTGTTAGAACACTGACTTGCCTAGCATGTATGAGGCACTGGGTTTGATCCTCAGTACCACATAAAAATAAATAAATAAGGGGCTGGGGTTGTGGCTCAGTGGTAGAGCACTTGCCTAGCATGTGTGAGGCACTGGGTTCAATTATCAGTACCACATAAAAATAAGTAAAGGCTCATCCACAACTAAAATAAGCAAACAAACAAATAAAAAGGTATTGTGTCCATCTACAACTAAAAAAAAAAAAAAAATGTTTAAAGTCCCCTACTCTCTTGCCTGTTTTAGATATAACAGTTACTTTCCAGTTCATTTTGGTGGGGGTTGGGGGTTGGGGGAGTGCTGGGGATGGAACTCAGTGTCCCACATGATAGCAAACACTCTACCCCTGAGCTGCATACCCAGACTGCTCCTACTCATAGCTAAAGAAGTACTAAAAAATATCTAACAAGTTTCAGAAAAGAAGGTTCTCAAATACTTCTACAAATACCCTGTTTTTTAAAAAAAAATTTATACATATTTATGGGGTAAAATGTGATGTTTTGATTCCTGTATACATAGGGTAATGATCATACCCTTCATCTCATACATTTATCATTTCTTTGTGGTGAGAGCAGTTGAAAAAACTTTGCCTCTAGCTATCTTCAAATATATAATACATCATTGTTAACCAGTCACTCTACTGGGCAACAGACCACCAGAATTTCTTCTTCCTATCCACTTGCAACTTTGTATTCACTAACAAATCTCACTGTTTTTCCTTTCTGTCTCCACTTTTCAGTCTTACATAATCACTATTAGTCTGTTCCATCTCTATGAGATGAACTTTTTGAGAATCCACATGAGATCATACATTATTTGTCTATGCCTGGTTTATTATGTTCCACGTCCTACAGGTTCATTCATGTTGTCCCAAATGATAGGACTTAATCCTTTTTTAATGGCTGAAGAGTATTCCAGATGCCATATTTTAAAAATGCACTCATCTGTTGTTGGACATTTAGGTTGATTCCAAAGCCTGGCTGTTGTGAATAGTGCTGCAATATACATGACAGAGGAGATGACTCTCTGATACACTGATTTCACTTCCTTTGAAAATATACCCAGTAGTGGGATTGCTGAATCCTAAACTCTTTTTTAAGTTTTTTTTTCCTTTTAATATCTACCTCTAAGTTTTCTATATGATAGGTATATATTACTGGCTTGAGTCATCAGTTTTAAACTTTATCTATTGGCTTTCTCATAGATTAAATGAGATCTAACTTTCCTGCTGTCCTTCACTTCCGCTTCCTATCCCCTCTTTCTACAAACATAGCTATGAACATAACTGTTGGTTAAATCTGATTTCAGAGTTTATATTATTATTAGTTTTCGGCGGAGACAACATCTTTGTTTGTATGTGGTGCTGAGGATCAAACCTGGGCCACACGCATGCCAGGCGAACATGCTACCACTTGAGCCACATCCCCAGCCCATAAACATATTATTATACTATGTAAATATTATTCATTACAGAGCCAAAAGGTATACTATAATCATTTATTTTCTTGTAAACTTGTAAATAACACTAAGGTACCCTTTCTTATTAAAGATTCCTAAGAAAGCATCTCCTCTATCAAAAGAACATAATCTATATGGTCTATTATTTCTGTCCATATACCAAAAAATAACCATTTTGGAGAACTATGGTAAACTTTTTATTTTATTTTTTGGTATTGGGTTTTAAACCCAGGGGCGTTTTATCAAGATGTGCTTGAACCACACCTCCAGTGCTTTTTAATATCTATCTATATCTATTTATTTATTTATTTATTTTTGAGACAAGGTCTAAGTTCTGAGGCTGGCTTCCAACTTGTGATCCTCCTGATATAGTATCTTGAGTTGTTGGGATTATAGGTGTGTACCACTGCATCCAGATATAGTAAACTTTTGATACTGAATACACAAACATTCACACATCCTACGTTTCTATTCCCTTCAGATTCTATTCTCAAAAACTAATTTTCAAAATTATATTCAATCCACTAAGTCATTGCTATAACACTCAAAAAGTAATGAATATGCTGAGATATCTATTATAATACTTTTTAAACCATATTAACTAACTTTTTTCAACAAATCAAATCTCAAACTTCTCCCATAATTTTCTTTAGTGTTTATACCCCTTATTTATCTCTGCTATTTATTGTGTTCTAAGACTATCAGGAAACCCACACGTCTTGGATAGAGGAAATATTTTTCTCATTGTTTATTTTTGTTTCATTTTCTCTGAGGTTTCTATTCATTCTTTTTTTTTTTTTAAGTTGTAGTTGGACACAATATCTTTATTTTATTTATTTATTTTTATGTGGTGCTGAGGATGGAACCCAGGGCCTCACTCGTGCTAGGTGAGCGCTCTACCGCTGAGTCATAACTCCAGCCCCTCTGTTCATTCTTATTTCTGCTGATCTACCTAATAATATACTTTTCTCCCAATTCTAATTTCTTCCATCTTTCCATACTCCAATCTCTTGGAACTAATTCCATAGCTTTGATGTACTACTTTCACATATTTCTTCAATATTTAGTTGTTATAAAAGCCACTATTCTATCTACATTCCAAACATATCAACTGACCACAACAATTTGTGTTTTAACTTCAATCAGCTTCTAAAGTAAATATCCCATTTCATCCCACAGGTAAGTAAACAGGTAAGTCTGAGGAAAAAACATTACCATACAGAAATGTCTCATATCTGACACTTTAAAGCACTTTTTATTAGTTCACTCACATTAAAACAATGACATTTGGTTTTAGGTTGGTAAGAAAAATTATCCCTTTTTTTTTAAATCATTTATTCCTTTCAGAAAAGCAATCCAATACATACCTCTGTAGAAAATGCGTTTCTTCTGGGTTTATCCACATGACAGATAAGCAACCCACATTATTTTATTATTAAGGGGAAAAAAGAACAAAATGTGCCTTATGGACATCACTGACTCAGTGATTTAACTACATCATTGTTGCAATTTAAACTTAGTAAGAGGCTGTAGTTACCTCTTTTTGTAGATGAAGTTTGAAGCAACTGTTTGGCTTTGAGGGAAGTACGAGGCAAATTTTTCAGCCTTTGCGAAGCTGTTGAAAAATAAGGAACTGTAATATTTGCCTGAAAGTATAAGATAAAGACTATAGCTTCTGTAAACTTGAATATTTTAATGCAAACTTTAAAATTTATCAAGGAACAGAAACCATAAGGTGAAATGTTAGAATCCTACAAAGCAGAGGAATTTTAAGGTGATGCTTAGTGAATTAAATTGGAAAAGAAAAGGGATGGAAATCTTAGTGCATGGTGCAAACTTTGAGAACTAGTTTCTCGTGGATGAAAAAAAATCTCAAATATATCATCTGTCAAAATAACAAAGAGAAAACAAACCACCAGCAAACATGCCACAGGATGCAAAGAATACAAAGATATAAGTGATGAACACAAGCACACAGTATAGAATAAAATAAATGCAATACTTGTTCAATGCAAAAAAGCGCATTTTGGCAAAGCAGTTACTGTTAGATGAACTGCCCTAAAATGAAACAACGATCTCCATACTCAAAAAGGAGAAGAAAACTCAGAACCAGCAAGTTCTCAGGAAGTCACAATCTGGTGGCTTTAATATGTTTAACATCATCTTATTGTAAAATCCAAGTAATCTGTACCCCAGATTTTGGGCAGAACCGTATCTGGGCTATGCACATATGTATAGGTGGGGTGTGTGTGTGTGTGTGTGTGTGTGTGTGTGTGTGTGTATGTTTTGAGAGGTCTAAATGAGTTGGAGCACATGACATTTAAAGAGATCAGTGAGGAATACTAAACTTGTTTCAAACTTTTATTAGCTACACTGAAACTCTCTAAATTGGCAGATAAGATCCAGATATAGTAAACTTTTGATATTGAACACACAAACATTCACACATCCTACATTTCCAGGGCCATCTAGAGTTAAAAGTGGCTCCACTTATTCCAATATCCAATTATCAGAGTCCTATACCAATCAGTGCAGTCCCCTATTTAAGTGGCTCTGAAATGTCCTTCTATTGATTGGACAGACTTTATATACTTTTAGAATTTATGTGTAAACCAAGACAAAAAACAGACCCAACCTCTACAAGTTTAGTTAGGGCACAAATAATCACTGGGGTGATAAAGGATACTTGACACATCATCAGGGAGAATACAAGGAAGGATTTGTCTTTCCTCTATTGCTTAGCTTTATCAAGCTAAATAACTCATGTTTTTTTTTTTTCAAAGCTAATACACTTTTTTAAAGAAATGTACTTGATTTCCAATTTTATAGCACTCCAAACATTACTATAGCTAAATAATGTTTGATGCTAACTCAAATATTGACAGGCAGACTAGCAAAAATTTCTCATTTAAAAAAAATATCAAACTTTTAATCGGTTACCTTATATCTATCCCACAAAAATTTAGGCTGTTATCATCACTGGATATTCTATTTATTTATATGTTTTCAATCAGTCATATTTTCATCACTCCAACCATTCATTCGTCTATCCCTGTATTCATGCAAATAAGAGAGTTATCTGCTTTCATTCAGGTACTGTTTTGGGTACAATGGTTTCAGTAGCCAACCAGATAGACATAGTTTTTACTTTGATGGAATATTCTAGAAAAGGAGAGACAGACAATAAACAATGTTGTAAAATATAAGGCCTTCCAGATGGTGGCAGGTGCTAAGGAGGAAAATTAAGCAGGAAAGGGGGACAAGAAGTAAGAGATTTAAGTTGCAACTATAAATAGAATGATTGAGAGATTTCCCTAAGATGACATTCACACAAAGATCTGAAGGAAGAAAAGGAGTAAGCCATGTAGATATCTAGAAAAAGCATTCCAGATTGAGGAAAAAGCAATTGTAAAGAATACTGAGATTGGAACACAGTATGTTTAAAGAACAGAAAGGAGGCTCAGAAGGGCAAGGAAACCAACTGAACATATTCTGACAATCTACAATGTTTTTCAGCCATTAAAAATTTTTAATGAGGGCTTAATATCAAATGCCATTTGTAGTAAACCCTTTGGAAAGATCCTATTTGAATTAACAACTACAGTGACTTCAATGGACTTTTTTTTGTTTTTTTAACCTCTTCCATTTCATGGTGACATCACAATGGCATCTACATACAAAGGAAAATTGTCCACCAGGAATTTAAAGAATCAGATTACATACATACAGGATCAGGCAGTAAATAGTAAATCTGCCTGACACAGCATAAAATGAACCATGTTCATAAGATACTACACACATGCATGTTAATCAAATAACAAAACTAAGTTTTTATCTGATTTATCATTCTTAATTTGATCAGTCTTCTAAAGACAAAAATTAATTTTTTTTAAAGTTCTGGGGACTGAATCCAGGGGACCTCTACCACTAGCTACATCCTAGTCCTCCTTTTTTTTTTTTTTTTTTTTTGAGAAAGGATCTTTGTACATGCTGGCCTTCAACTTGTGATCTTCCTGCCTCAGCCTCCAGAGTTGCTGAGATTACAGGTGTGGGCCACTGTGCTTGGTACATCATTTTTTACATAATGAAGTGTTCTAGTTTAAGTGAAATATAATTAAATGTTAACTGTTTGAAAATATTTATGACTTAAGGTTTTCCTTGTTTCCTCATTAAAAAAAAAAAAAATACAAATCTAAACTAGCAAAACCCCTGTGAGAAGCAAGGATGCTACATTAAAACAATTATCCTCCCTACTCCCCCCCCCCCCCGCCTTTTTTGGTGGGAAATGGGAATTGAGCCCAAGGATGCTCCACCTCTGAGCTACATTACCAGTCTGAGGGTCCTTGAACTTGCTCTTCTCCTGCCTCTGTCTCTCAAGTAGCTAGGATAACATGTACATATCACCACCCCTGGCTAACAATTTATTCTTTGATGCTACCGTTATTTAGGTTAATGTCATCTTCCACAAATCAACTCTTCTGAAAACCTCCATTTCTGGGAAACATGTACCATTATTTTAAGTCATTCTAGCTCAAAAATTTGTTACTTAAATTTTATTTATATACCTCCTATAGTTTCTTAGATCAATACCTTCCTTTATATCCTCATGGTCTCCTAAATACTTTCATCGCCCTATTTTTGGATTAGAACAGTGTCCTTTGGGGTCTCCCTACATCTAGTCTTTTTCACTCAATTTATGTACATCAAGGAAATAAGATGAAAGTGCCCAGCACCTGCAGGAAATAAGCAAGTGTATCATCAGAATTCAGAAACAAAATAAAACCAGCTGTTTCTGTTTTTTTTTTTTTTAAACACCTTCATTTTATATGTTTATTTTTATGTGGTGCTGAGGATTGAACCCAAGGCCGCACACATGCGAGGGGAGCACTCTACCACTGAGCCACAACCTGTTTCTGTTTTCTATTATCATGCTCCAGCAATAATAATCAAAGTCAGTGAGAAAAAACACTCTTCCCTGGAGAAAAAAATGGTTTATTGGTCTAAATTATACATAATAGCTATAGAAACTATTGCATTTTAATAACATTATGCTACTTTTAAATTATTATTATTTCATAGTAATCTGAAATCTTTCAAGCTTACTTCAACAGTGTGTGCCTCTTACCCTGTGATACACTATATTACTATATAAGTACACTAGAAACAAACAATGATGATAGAAAGACTATAAAATCAATGAGTTACCTCAATTTTGTCATTACATGTGTCTTTGAACTTGTGTTTAAAATTTTTTAAACTGTGAAGACTTTAAAAAAAATCATTAGACTAGATCTACTCCCTGCCCCCAGCACCACACACACACACACACACACCCCACACACATACACACAAAGCTTAGACAGTATGGCACTTTCTGGAATTTATTGTAAAATGTGATTTTGTGACTCTCTATCCAGCTTAACTTTACACTGAAGATTTTCCGTATACTGCTGTTTGTTGAGATGCAATAGTCAAAGATTAGTTCTGAAGAATCATTGACATTGTTTGAAGAGATAAAGCTGTAATTTTATTACTGTAACAAAGTAATATGTAAAAATATATTTCCTTATTTAGAAAAAGAGTAATGTAATCTTAAATCCCATCATCTTCTTTCTGTACTATAGTATTGATTTTATTATTTTTTACTGACAATTACAAAACACAAAGTTCAATAAAAATATTTCCACTGTTGGCATTTTTTCCTGGCTATTGCTCCTCTAATTAATTTTATTTCATGATTATTATTGAACACAGCTTTATCATTTAGGGGAATGTTAAAAAAGACTCTTCTCCAGGTACTAATACTAGTAAGCATAAGCCACTATGAATGAATTTTAAAGTGAAATACCCTTGGGTTCTCTCACCCATGACATTTTGTTTAAAACCTTTTATTACTTACAAATTCTCATTTAGTCATCCTTTGATGCTGACTCTCCACTTCAGCCTTCTCAGGGCTACCAAGTCGCATATCTTAGATTTATTAAAACAGAAATAACAACACCTAGATTTTATCACTCCTTGTTGAGGTGTCTCCCAAAAACTCAAGTGTGAGACAATGCAATAAAGTTGAGAGGTGAAATGATTGGGTTATGAGAGTCTTAATCAGCTACCCTAACCAGCTGATAGGGATTAATTGTGTGGTAGTAACTATAGGCGGGTAGGGTGTGACTAGAAGAGGTGTGTCCCTGGGGGCACACCTTTGGTTGTATATATTTTGTCTGTGTTAAGGAAAGCTCCCTGTTTCCCAGTAGCTTGTTCCCAGCCACTTTCCTCTACCACACTCTTCTTCCTCACCTCACAGAGCAATGGAGTGGGCCTTTTATGGACTGACACCTCTAAAACTGAGACCCAAATAAACTTCCTCTTCTAAAATTGTTCTTGTCAGGTCTGTTGGTCACAGTAGCAAAAAATTGACTAAAACACTCCCTTCACACACCGCCTTTGTTCAACTCTTCATTTTTGGTCCAGATTATGCAATACCCTTCCAAGTGATTTCTAGTCTCTTCACTTTATTCCTTCTCCATATAATATCAAAATAAAGTTTCCAAGAGAAACCTTGATTAAAAGTCCATCATGACTCCTCATGCTTACAGGGTGAACTCTTTACATGATATTTAAAAACTCTCAGTCTATTTCCTATCTACATGTCTCCTCCCTCATCCATTCAGACCTTATGCTTCAGTCATACAACAAAACACTAGAATCAGGTTGCCACTCTATCGCTTTTCTTGACCGCACTTGGCAACTTTCTTTGGCAACTCATATAAGCTAAGTTGGCTATTTTTTAAATGTCTTTTTTGAAAACTCTTCACACTTTTAATACCTCTCCTCTGTTCTCAAAGAAGTTCCTGCTTATCATTTCCTGCTATTGGAAAGCATTGGCTGTCAAACACATTTATATTTTCAGTGCTAGGAACATAATTTATACCCAGCAACTTCTATTAAATGATTAAGGCACACATAAGTGACTGACTACTGGAGAAAATCTGAGCATTCAAGGTCCTCCACAATTAAGTCCAAATAAGTGATTCTCAAACTTGGATCTGCCCTGAAATCAGCTGAGCCTTTTTTTTTTTTTTTTTTTTTTGGTAATGGGGATGGAACCTAGGGGCACTTAACTACTGAAATACATTCCCCTTTTTAAAAAATTTTGAAAGAGTATCACTAAATTACCCAGGCTGGCTTCAAACTTGCAATTCTCCTGTCCCAGTCTCCCAAGCAGCTGGCATTTCAGGCATGTGCCACTGTGCCTGGCTTCAACTGAGACACTTCTGAAACGAGAGATTCTTGGTCTCCACCTCAAATATATTCAATCAAAATGCCCAGGGGTAAAGCCCAAAACACTACATTTAAAAAATTTTGTGATTTGATAACTGATCCAATATCACTGTACTATTTATTCTTACATTGAAGTTCTAGGAATATTACTCATTCTTAGACTAGCCTGTTAGTTTACTTGTAAAATGATTTATTTCAATTTATGTTTCATAATTATATAAGATTCAAGTGCAACCTTTTAGTGTTTTGTTAATAAATAAAATCTAGAAAGAATTCTCCCCCCTGGGCCTCAGATAAGTCCGGCTATACATAAGCTGAAAACTGCCTTTAGCTCTTACTCTTTACTGAGAGGTTGAGAACAGAATGTTGATTCTATGTTTATTCTCTGGGGGTATACTCTGAATCTTATGTAAAAATATTCTTACACTTTACTCTCTGTGATAATTCAAAATTTATTTACAGTTCAATCTCAAATCATTTCTAATACAGTCATCCAAGAATGTATTCCAAGATGCCTACTCATTTGCAATTAGGTCAGCATGATGTAATCCAAACAATGAGGGGAAGGAAACCAGGAGTCTCAAGGAAGTAATGTGAAGGAGTAATTTGGCCTTAGTTTTGCCACTTTTCTAGTTAATATGACCTTGCATGATTCAAATAATTTATATGGATCTCTGATCCCTTTCTATAAAAATAAGGAATGGATATTTGTGAGATTCATATGAAATAATACATGTCAAAGTACTTTAAACTTTTCAAAATACTAGCCAAATTTTGGATATTTAAAAAAGTCAGTAGATTGTCTTAAGGCTTTCACTCCCCTTCTCCTTATTGTTGAAACAATAATTCCTATATTTTTCTGAAAACCAAACTTTCTGCTAAACCTGTCTCTGGTAGTTTTAGAAAGCAAGGTAAATTAGTCTTTTGGAAAAAAAAAAAAATGCCTCTGCCAAACATTCTTTCCTTTAATTGAAGAAACTGAGAAAATGACCTGAATCCAGGACATGTGCAATGCTCTGGTTTTCTTAAACTTTTTAAGTCATTCATATTTTCCAAATATGAAAGTTGAAAATTGGTAATAACTATAAAAGTTGGAAAACACATTAGAATTCTCATAATACTACATCTGAATGCCAGCATCCACAATAATGCAGCCACAGCAAATAAGCATATAAAAATAGTGATTGGCATAGTAACAAGGCAAAAGAAGTGGTCCCATAGGTGGAAATAAGCAACCTTGCAAAGTTAGCTTCATGCAGACCAGCAAGTAAGAACCAAAGCTCTACCACTTATAGCTGGAAAAATAAATACTTAAAACAAATGCAACATACATTAAATAACTTAAGCTTACATAAAAAAAATATAAAATACCAATTCATTTAATAAAATGCATAAAACTTGCTATATATGCACATAATTACATATCAAAATATAAAAATTTTATATGTAAGACATTTTTATGGAAAGATATATGTAAAATTTCAAGAGAAAACAGATAATTAGGTTTTTGCTTCACAATACACTAACTTTAAACAAAATTCTTCTAAAATCTTTATAAAAGAAATTTAATATTAAGTTTTAGGCTTGCTGATATTCTGGATTTTTTATTTTCCAAATCATTTTGACAATAGTGTAATTCTACACTAACATAAATGTTTGTTGACATTTTTAATTACAAATAAGTTTACTATAGCTAAAAATATAAACAAGTACATGCATACAGGAAAAAAAGGATGATATCAGTCTAAATTCTTCTGTCTGTATATTATTATAATATTGAAATAACATGTTTATGAAACAGCATACATATTTTCCACAAAAGAATAAATTAGTGGGGCTAGAGGTGTAGCTCAGTGGCAGAGCGCCTGACTAGCACATGTGAGGCACTGGGTTCGATCCTCAGCACAATAAAAAAAATTAAAAAGAATACATTAGTAATTAGGATATTCAGATTCCCTATATATTTTCCTTAATTATCAGCTTCTGGGGAAAAAGGAAAAATAATGTGTCTACATATTCAACTTTGATATTGGTTTACTATACTACAAGTATGAAAAATGAATTGTTTATTTTTATTTTGATGTGCTCTAAAATATAATAAACTTTTAGATATTTTATTTTTTGCAGTGTTGGTGATTGAACCTGGGGCCTTGTGCATACTAGGCAATCATTCTACCACTGAGCTATATCTCTGGCCCAAGATATGTAAAAAGTAGAGATTTTTAGAGAAAATTTAAGTACTTATTAAAAAAATGACCTGAATCCTGGACATGTGCAATGTACATTTGGATAGTATATTGGCTACTATTTCTAATTTCTTTAAGTGAAAGCTAAATCTAGTTCCTTTTTTTTTAAAAAAAATCTATTGTCTTAAAAATATACTTCATTTATTTTAAAATTTGGTAGAGACTAAAGTTTCATATAATTATAAGTATTAATAGGAATTAGATATTTCAGGGACAAATTCTAAATTTTAATATAGTATGATTATCTTATAGTAACAGTTTAATAGTCATTCAGCACAAATATCTATAATTTTTATTTTCCATTAATCAATTTATACCCGAAAACATAAGAAAGATACTTACTGGCTGAAGCCTGAGGTTGCATGCGAGGTATTCCTCCATTTGGCACTTGAAAATTTGAGTCACTTCTGCTGCTTTTCACTGAGTCAACTTGTGTATTAGATGTACGGGACAGGTTTGGAAGACTGCGCCTTAGTTTTTCTACAAAAATATGATTTTAATTTTTTAAAAAATGAAACCATTCTTTCAGATGGAGAAAGAATTAAAATATTAATTAGGATTCAAAGGAGATTTACCTAAACATTCTGCCTATTATAAAATAGAATAAAACAGGAAGTACTTATTTAAAAATAAAAACTCAACCCACAGTCTATATAAATTGGTAGGTTAAGAGAATCCTTAAAGGAAACAGCAAATTATATATTGAAATCTACATCTAAACAAAGATCATTTCGTGAGTAAAATAAAGCAAAAGTAACACAATCACCTAAAGTTAAAATGACTTTCTTTTTTTGTATTGATAAACGATGAATAAAGTGGCTCACTTGACTAAACTCTTATTTATTTGAACTACAAAATCTTGGCAAAACCACATTACTTTCACACTGAAATACGAATGATTTTTTTCAGAAGCATTCTAATGAAAAAAATCTGCTACGTTTTACCTTCATTTTTAACATTGCTTGTCTGTAAATCTGTGGGATGGCCTTGAAGTGAAAGGCGCGGCTGCTGTAAGCGGCTAATCATAGGCTGTGGGGACACTCTACTATATTCTATTCCCCGAGCAGGAGATCGTGAACGAGGTGAATTTCTGGGCGACTGCTTAGGTGATGGTCGAGGTGAATTGCGTGGTGATGGTGAAAACCTGTTAACAGCAGGGTATACTGCATGATGCATATTGTCATCTTCATCATCTAAACTTTGTGCATCAAGTTCCTGATCACTAAAAGTACCCCGTCTTGTAGAATTGCAAGATGAACCAGAACTGCGCCGAGAAGTGGTGGCTGCATATTCCTGCCGGAGACCTGGCAACAATGAATATGTTATTTCTTTAACTATATTTTTGATTATTTAAAGATTTTTTTTAAATGTAAAAGTAAAAAATTATCATTGAAAAATTCAAGCAGTATAAAGTAGAAAGGAAAACTCCCTTTCTACTTTTAGACATCCTGCCATTATCAAGATGCATAAACCACATCTGCAGATTATTTTTAAATGAAATGAAAATTTATAAAACCTTTGCCCAATTTCTAGATTTCACTTAAATCTGAAATTACAAGGTAGAAACATAAATTTAAAATACTTCTACCCCTACACATAACAATCCAAATTTGATATTAATATTAAAGGAACACTGAAGGAAAACAATTACTGTGCAAGCAAATAAACTCCTTAGATACTTAATCCTTGAATCAACATTATAATGCAAAAAAATCACAGAATCTAGGTAATTTAAGCAAGTCCTGCTAACTATTGGCAATCCAGTAAAAAAGGATGTCATAGAGTAGTTATATATTTACACACAGAAAATGCTGTTAACAAGTTCCCCAAACTAGTGATTCTTATCTTAGAATCACTCCAGGATATCTTTATAACTACAAATTGTTAGGGATGCAGCTCATTGGTGGAGTGCTTGCCTGGCATGCCTGAGACCCTGGGTTCAATTCTTAGCAATACACACACAAAAAATCCACTAAAAATTCTTGGGGTCCAGTTCACCCTTCGGTCAGACTGAGGAACTGACAGTTTCTCAGTGTCTAGTTATAACAAATATGGCACTAATGTCATCTAACAAAAGACAACAGACCAGTGAAAGAGCATTGTTTTCAGAAAAGAAAAATCCAAACCTCGATGTAGTCTAACAAGAGGATGCTAAGAAAGTCACACTCACAATAGGATTTTGCATTTCTCATTTTAAAAACAAGAAAGCTCAACTAGGTACAATCTAAATCTGCAATTTTGTATCTCTAATTATAATAGAAATCCTGGAAGAATTATGTTGTAAAAAAAGAAACTCATATATTTAAAAAGGGAGAAGGAACGACTTGTTTTTAAGGGAGTATACCATATATTTTTAGCAGTGTCTTTTTTTTTTTTAAATTTACTGAGAAAATAAATATTCATGTATGTGGAAAAAGGATTACTGAAGTACCGAGAGGCTAAAATTCTATTATTTTACCAAAACACAATATAAAAGCTGCACTAAACCGTTGACTGAGCTTTTAACAAAATATTGGTGTCTAAAGTCAGGTTTCAAACAAGAAATGAGTGAGTTTACTCCAAGGTATAGAACTAGATGGCATTCTTTTTTCCTTTCATATCCATGAATAATTAGCTTCTGACTTGTTTAATGCCACAGAATCAGTGAGGAGTTAAAATAAAATTACAGAAGAAATGGCTAACATGTCATTAGTTTTTAGAGCTAACAAGAAATAAAGAATAAGTCAATCTCCTATCTTTCCAGCAGTATTATAAATGGGAACTGAATCAGCAGAGGAAGAAACATTCTACAGTTTCTTAATGTCATAGCTTGATAAAGCTTACTACACATTTAAAGAAAAGATTATGCTCTAAGTAAAACCAAAGGTTTTGAAATAAATTTTAGCAATTCTCATCAGCTAATTGCCAAGACTCTGAAATGTGTATTTCAAGGAGCTTTTCATTGAAAAGGTTAAAGGGATCACTTTACAGATATTTCTTACTTCACAGTTTAGTATATGGCATCTTATGAGATGCACCAGCAAGAACAAAACTACCACAACCACCTTACATTCAAATTAGAGCCAGGACATCCATGAACCTTTGAAATAGTATGAAAAATTTCATGTTTATGTATATTTTGGAGATGATGGAGGCTATAATTTTTACTACATTCTCAAGACAGTTTCTAGACAGTTTCAAGGACCATGCTGAAAGTACCATCACATGCTTCATTTAATTTAATGTCACAAGTTCGGTTTCTTTTTTAAATACACACACACACTTCTAGTTGTGGATGAATCTTTTATTTTTACTTATTTGTTTATATGTGGTGCTGAGAATAGAATCGAACCCAGTGCCTCACACATGTTGGGCAAGTGCTCTACTACTGAGCCACAATCCTAGTCCTCATAGATTTTTTTTTTTTTTTTTTAATAAATTTGTGGTTTCTCAAGAGAGTGATATCTGTCACCAAGAAGAATATCACAATAGCTAGCGGCCCTCATAGTACTTAAATAGAGTGTACAACAGTGATTTTTAAAATTCATGGGGGAGGAGGTAGGTAAAAAGGAAGATCTAAAAGATCTAAAAAGGCTCTTTAGGGGAGCAAGTTTTTTAAAAAAGGTTGAGAAACACTGATTTACAATAAAAGACACACAGTAATAGAGGAATAATCCCACTTCTGAGTGCAGATACAAAGTAACACACAGTTAGTTTGCTAAGCATAATATGCTTTTCTCTGCCTTTCATATAGCAAAACTGCCCTATGTAAAATAAACTCTGAAAATGAATAAACAAGTACATATGTGAACAAGCCTCTGAAGTGTCCATTTAAAAATTTTTACTTTCACTGTATTACTATTCTCACAAGACATATTTAATACCTACAATAAAATCATATAGTAGTAAAAGAAATAAAAAAGCCCCTTTTTTCCCCTCATGTTTTCTGGTACTAGAGATGGAACCCCACGGTGCTTTACAACTAGCTACATCTCATATCTTCTAATTTTTTATGTTAAGACAGGGTCTCTCTAAGTTGGACAGGCTGGCCTCAAACTTGTAATCCTCCTGCCTCAGTCTCCTGAGTAACTAGGATTACAGGCATGTGCCACCATGCCCTGCAAAAATCTCAACTGCTGGCAATTAAAATACTTACTTTCTTCCTGCATCCGGGCTAGAATCTGCACATCAGTTACATCATTTAACTTATAATTGGATCCAATTGAATCTTCATCTAATTCTGAAGCACTTAACTCACTATCTATAGAGGATTGAGGACTGAGCGGAGGATTTCTGTCTGATGAACTTTTGAAGTTACCTTGAGAAAAAAAAATATCAAACTTTAATAAGACCAAAATTGAAAAAATACCTGTTGCAATCAACTAGATATTATATCCTTTGCTGCAGATCATTATTGTTCTGCCCTTTGTTTGCAAAATACTGAACATATAATGAAATTAGAAATGGATCTTATTAAGAAAAATGAGGGCTATAGAAACTCATTTATATACTATGGCATGAACACAAAACTCTTTTTCATTTAATATAATTTATCTATTCCTTTACAGAGAACAATTCAACCCAGTGCCTGGAAAACAGATGTTATCAAATAACTCTAGGCTAGAGGATTTCAACCTTTACAACAAAGTCAATAAAATTGCTCTACAAAGTAGATGAATCTATGATGTAGTATTTTCTTCTCTCAAATTCAATCATTAACAAGAACCATCATATTTTCACTTAATAAAAGCATCTGTTTTTCCTAAACAAGAAAACTCTATAATTTGAGGAAAATTGGATTCCTTAGACATTTAAAAATAAACCAAAAAAAAAAAAAGAACACTAGGCCAATTTCTCCTGTATGATGCCATGTTTACAAAATTCTTCTGGAAAATTTGTAGTGGGGATCCAAGGTGTGCTGAGATTTAGTGGTGAAGCACAAAAGATGGGATGAAGAAAATAACTAGATTTAAAAAAGAGTACTTTATCATTCTAAAGCAAAAGGGAGACAGATCAGAAGAATAAAGAATACATGCTTTTCTAGGCAAATACTTTTATGTGCTCATCAACTTCTATTGTAGAATAATAAAATCCTAACACTGTCACTAATATTTCTAATACAGATTTGAAACACTTGTTTTCCACATTTCTTCACCATAAGAGTCAGTTCCAACATGAAAGGCATGTAAGGAGAGCAGGAAAAATACAAAACAATTAACATTTACATTATCAAGGAAAAAGGAGCAAAGTGCAAATGATAGAAAAAGTACTACAAGATTAGGCTCAAATAATGCCTGAATCAAATTCTTTATAATAATTATTACAGATTAAACTTTTTAATTGTCATAGGAGAAATAACTATCAAATAACTATATACTAAGCAAAGGACAGGGTCAATAAAGTTTAGATTAGAGAACTCACAGGTTGAAAATCTACAGTGGTTAACAATACCTCAATCTTAAAGTAAGGTTACTTAATTAATTAAAGTAAGGTTAATTAATGAGACATAATAATAGCAGTAATAGGAGTAAATGAATGCGTCAGTCATAGAATCAGAGCAGAATATACTTTCTCCAGTTCATTGCAACCTGTCCCTTCCACGTTACTTACAGCACCCATCTCTCTTTTAATACATTCACATATAACCTCATATTATTGCTTATGGTTAATATCAAAGCCTATTAAAACTTCTTTAAAGAGTATTTAACTTTGTAGCTTTTATAACCCACACAGGCCATTTGATAAAGATCTATTGATTAAGAGAGTCAAGGTTCTGACCCCATTTAATTAGACCAGATTTAAAAACTTCTAAGTACATACTAAAGAAAATTACATAGATAGAACACATTGACTTATCTTTGTACTCCTTGTGCCTAGTATAGCTTCTGTTGCAAAGCGGTTCCTCAAAGAGATTTTCTCTAAGCAGTTAAAAAATTCATAAATAAAAGGAACCTGAACTAGTTATTTTCTGAAGTAGGGTAGTGAGTGTAAAACCATTGATTAATAACTCCATTCTATTTTCTCCTTACCTGAATTTCCAGGAAGTATAAGTTGTTTGACTATAGGAGGTCGCACTGGGGTTGAGGATGGAGAATTGAAGCCACTGCTGTATGGGCTACTGGCATTTGGACTGTAAGGACTTGAGTAACTCATAGAGTTGAAAGGATTATTATATAAATTCTGTCTCTTGAGAGCTGCATTTTAATGAGAAGGGGGAAAATCAAATCAATAACTGAGAAAAAGTTAGCATTTTATTAAAAAGTTTTCCTATTAAAAATTCGTTAAATCATTATCTCAGTTTAAATAAACATACTTATAGTAGTAGGAAAACTATAATCCCAACACACTTTCATTAACTGTTATGCAAACAAAACAGTAGCCACATCAAATGATAAGATAATATAGGTAGAACATATTCTAAACAGGCTACTGGCTATGAAATTAATTCACTTCTCTCTTGTTAGAGAAAGTGTTTCTTTAATAACTCTTCCATCAATCCTGTGTGAGCTTTAAAAATAAATATGAAAACACTTGTGCCTAATTTTTCTATAACACACATTATTTTTAAAAACTGCACAAAATATTAAGTTTTTATTTTTATTTTTTGGTGCTGGGGATTGAACTCAAGGGCACTTAACCACTGAGTCATACCCCCAGACCTTTTTATTTTTTGAGACAGGGTCTCACTAAGTTGCTGAGACTGGCTTTGAATTTGTGATCTTTCTGCCTCAGCCTCTCACATTGCTGGGATTACAGGTATGCACTACCATGCCTGGCAAATATTAGGTTTTTAAAATGGCCTTTAGGGTTTTGAAAAAAGAAAGCAATAATGACTGGTTAAATCAGGTCAAAGATTAAAAAAAAAAGGGGGGGGGAGGAGATTTGCCTTTTTAAAAAGAAAGTTTATTCCCACCCAAAATAATACTTTTGTTACAAGAAAATCATGCTTTGTATAAAATTACACAAATAGTACAACAGAAGGACTAAGATATCAAGTGAAATTATATATAAGAAAAATCAATACTTAAACTAATATTTTTCCCTTCCATCCTATCCTAAAATCCACAGCTTATTCAATATTTATTAGGATGGCCAAAGCGTTGTAGAAAACATACAAATATAACATGGTACTTTCTCTTAAAAGGCTTGCTAGTAAAATAGAATTGGCTAAAAAAAAAAAAACAGTAATTGTAAAATAAGTACTACAATAAAGGTGCAGAAGGTTACAGAAATGAACTGAGAAATTTTACAACTGAGAAAATGGGTAATATTTTTTGGAAGAATAGGCACTGAATGGTCTTAAGAGGATGAGTAGTAATCTGATAGGCCACTAAAAGTGGATAAAGTACAAATGTGCTGTGTTTACAATATGAACAAAAGTAGTGTCTTGAAAATGCACAGCATGTTCAGGGAATACACGGAGTAGTAGTCTAGTGTGGAAAAGCATATGGGAGGGACAGCACAGAAAAAGTAGCTGGGAACAAGTCATGGGAGGCCTGGAACACTATGCTCAGGAGTCTTAAACCCATTGAATAGCAAAGATGAAGCGATCAGTAAATTTTAGCAGAAGTGCTGTGATTCAATTTGGGGGAAAACAGAGATGGAAATAGTGATGTTGAATAGGCTAAAGTAGGCAGTATACAGAGACTAGAAAATTAGAAGAAAAAAAGAAAAAGGGCATATGAAAAACTGGAAAGTAAATAAAACAAACAAACAAACAAAAACAGGTGCCTTGTTTCTGGTTTACCTACTGACAGAGTAGCAGTTATGGGAGGAGGAACACATTTTCTGTTGTACCATGTGAGACGAGACACCACATTTTATACATATTTAGTACATAGTATGGAAGCATCAACCCAAGAAGAAACAGGCTTGCAAATTTCTATCTCCTTATTCCTTTACAATCTCCTCTAAAGCTTATTATCTTTTATTTAGTTATTAACCACTATCACTCTATGCCATATTCTTTCTCCTGAGAAATCTCAAACATACACACAACATCAATTATCCTCTATCTGCCAAAGGCTCCCCATTATTTCTACTTCTAATCCTAAATTTCTTCTGTACATCAGTCCAACACACACTACCCATTTAATGTCCCTCTGGAGGTATGGCAAATATATCCCAGAATTGTCCCTCTGGAGGTATGGCAAATATATCCCAAAATTCAAATCAAATTAAACTCATGAACTTCCTGATAAAATCTATTTCTCTTCTAGGGGTCCCTCTCTCAGAATGATAACATTCATCCTGTCATACAAACTGGAAACCTAGAAATCACTGTTGCTCCAGGAACATTGGTGCATGCCTGTAATCCCAGTAGTTCAGAAGACTTGAGGCAGGAGGACTGCAAGTTCAAACCCAGCCTCAGCAATTCAGCAAGGCCCTAAGTAACTTAGTGAGATCTTGTCTCAAAATAATAAAAAGGGCTGGCTCAGTGGTTAAGTGCCTCTGGCTTCAATCCCTGGTACCAAAAACCAAAAATTGTTGGCACTTTTTTTCTCCTTCATTTCCTCATAACTGATTCGCCACATTTTTTCACTTCATCAACTACCATTTGCTTGATGACATATTTTTTGTTTTTCATGTAAAGTTCATGGCTCATAACCCTTTCCCCAAGGCAAGCCAAAAAAAACTAGAAGTTTCTTCTTTAAGATAGGTCACAGAAACTCTAATCTTCCCTGTCTTGAAGCTGGCCATAAAAAAATTCTTTGATCTACCTTGTCTGAAAGATTATAAGACCTCAATTTCAGAAGGTGTTCTGTCCCATACTCACAAGAAAGGAATGCTGAAGAATCTGGAGTTCAGATAGGTTTCCTGGGTTTCCTCACCCAGTCTAGTAGCATTAGATCATACCCTTTTTGTCCAGTAACATTTCAACATGGTTGTCTGTACTTTGGTCATGCCTTTGCAATGTAGTCTCCATAAGCCCCCCCCCCCCCGCCCCCCCCCAAAGAACAGAGTTCTAAGAGTTTCCAGACAGCTGAACATGTACAGATTCCTGGGAGGTGATATGCCTGGAAAGGGCAGATAAGCTCCATGCCCCTTCTCTCATATCTCCATTTATGCATCTCTTCATCTGTGTTCTTTGGATTATTCTTTATAATATATTGGCAAACCTAAGTGTCTCCCTGATTTCTGTGAGCTGCTCCAGCTATGTAATCAATCCTGAAGAGGCACAGTAGAAACCCTAATTATAGCCAGTCAGTTAAAAGCACAGGTTACAACCTTGGACTTGCGATTGGCATTTGAATGGAGCACAGTCTTGTGGGACAGAACTCTCAATCTGTGGGATCTCATGCTAGCTCCAGGTAGACAGTGTTAGAACTTAACTGAATTGGAAGGAGCCCAGCTGATATCTACTGTAAGCTTATTGCTTTCTTCCTGGAGGGGAGATATCCCCAACTTCTGAGATCACAGAGTCTTTTGTGTGTTGATTATTATGGTGTGTAGGTAGAGAAAAAATGTTTTGTTTTTTTTTCCCCTATACTTCCCAACCCACCCAGCTAGCATCATGAAATGTCAAGAGCATCCTACATTCACTCTTGGCCCTCTCCACTCTGCTCTTCATACTACTGCAAGAATGTCTTTTCTAAAGTGCAAATTGGGTAGTATCTTCCAATCCATCATCTTACACTCTTACATAAAACTTCTATATTTTCCCAATGTTCTTAAAATAAAGTTCAGAATACTTAATGTGGCCTATAAGATCTCATGGTCTGGCTCCTATACATTTTTCTGACTATAATTATGTCACATCTCTTCCTTCCTTACTCTTCTCCAGCCACAGTGACTTGTTCCAGTTCCTCATGTAAGCCACTGGCTCTCTTACATTGAGCCTTTGCATATATTCTCTCTATCTGCAATGCCCACCTCCTATTCTCTCCTTCTTCCTTAGTACACTTACATTTTTATAAATTTTTTAGGACTCAGGTTAAAGATCACTTCTTGAGAAAAAACCCTTTGTTTCTCAAAGCCCAAAGCACTGTATATCATTCCTTAATTACACATTATCAATTATAAGGATTATTTTTAAGATTCCTCTGCCAGATAACATACTCCAGGAGTACAGGTACAGTGTTGTGTTTATTTTTCTTTATCCTGCATCTCTCACCTTTTCCTAAAGTCTGATACATAAAAGGCTCTCAAAAAAACTAAGCTGAATATATACAATGAATCAATGAGATTAATTTAAATAGAGATGACACTAGACACCACAGAAGTGGATAGAAACACCAAGAGATGTGAAGCAAAAGACAGGCAGTCAGAGGGTTGGTAGGGGTCATGGGAAGTTATTGTTTAATACAGATACAGAATTTCAGTATAGGATGATGAAAAGTTCTGTACAGATGGACAATGGTGATGGTTTCACATCAGTGTGAATGTACTTAATTAATGCCAATGAACTATACATTCAAAAGGGTGAAAATGGAAAGTTTGTGCAATATTAATTTTACTACAAAACAACAACAATAACACATTGGCAAAAATGGAAGCACCTTCAAAGAAGACAGAAAAGAAAACAGCAGGAGGGGTAAGAGAGGGTAAAAAAGATAATGCAATAGCATAAAAACAAGATGAGTTTAGGATCAAGTGGTACTGCACCTTAGAGAAGTTAAATGGGATGAATAGAAACTGTTCTATAATACAATACCTAAATTCCCAGGAAGACTTACCTTATCAAAAAAAAATTTTAAATACAATCTCCTTGGAAAAAGAGTAGTTTAGGAATGAAAGTTCAAACTTGCAATAGCTAAGTTATTTTTCCTGAAAAATTTTAAATGTATGTATTTAAAACATACATTATGTTTATAGCTATAACTATTATTGTGTGCATATATATACAATTAAGACTTTGTTAAACAGATCTAGTACTTGATTGCACCTAGTTTTAGATCAAGAGAAACTCCTTCACTTACACAAAGCAAAAATCAACTACTCTTTTTGTAGTACAGCAGCTTTGCTTTTCTCTCTCAAATACAGATTACTGGTTAATAGCTGGTAATATTTCCTGTTTTTTAGAATGTGTGAAACCAGGAATTGGTGAACTATAGCCTGCAGGCCAAATCCAAGAGACCACCTGTTTTTGTAAACAAAGTTTTACTGCAACACAACCATACCTATTTATTTACATATTATCTATGGCTGTTAATGTGCTCATAGCAGTAAGAAGACTCACAAAGATTAAACTGACTCTCTACAGAAAAAGTTTATATATTTCCTTATTGCCTGATATTCCAATAAGACTATAAGTTCCATGAAAAAAGGGATTTCTTGATCTATTATTGCTATGTCCTCAGAACTGAGAACAATCTTCAGAACACTAGGCCATTAACATTTACTGTTGAATGGTGAAAAAGTCCTAATTAAGTTGTAAATTATTTTATTTCCAAGGAAAGACATGGTACTCAAAAGTATAAAAAAAACTGATCCTAAGAATTTTTTTTTTGGGGGGGGGGCGGGTACCAGGAGTTGAACTCAAGGGCATTGGACCACTGAGCCATATGCCCAGCCCTATTTTGTATTTTATTTGGAGATAGGGTCTCACTGAGTTGCTTAGCACCTCACTTTTGCTGAGGCTAGCTTTGAACTTGAGATCCTCCTGCCTCAGCCTCCTGAGCTGCTGGGATTATAGGCATGAGACACCACAACTAGCTAAGAATATTTTTAATAAATGTTTAAATAATATCTAACTGCAGTTTGGTCAAAAACTTCCAGTTATTTCAAGTTGTCTACACACTTGCCTACATAGTTAAATTTCTTATGAATATAACTTAAATCAAGCTCCAGAGAATAATTCTAAAAACAAATTGATTTTCAGACAGAACTTTTTTGAAAATTACATTAAGACTACTGTTTTGAAAAACAGAGGGAAAGTAGGACTTTAGTATCAAAGCAATCTCAGATTCAGGAGCTCTATAATCACATCCTGTTAAGTTATTTGTAAATATACCATTTCTCCTTTCATTTTACTATATACCAGTTTAGCTAGTCTTCCCTCTGGTACCCTGACCAATTTCAGCTTAAATGCTAACCAAAGAGCATATATTTCTATAATAATACTAATATACACTATTTAAAGTACACTACTGCTAAGCAAATGCAAAGAAAAATGAAAAACAAAACCTTTTTCCAGGATTAATAATCATGCATCAATTCTTTACCATCTGAGTATTTCAGAAAACAACAGTTTTAAGACTGAGAGAAATGATTACATTTTTCTTACATTTCTACCCACAATGGCATGCTATGTTAAATGTCATAAGTAGACACAGACATATTTTTGTCAGCTTTTTGAATGCTATTAAACAAAAAAGCATAACAGCAATTTAAACCTAAAATGTCAAATAGAAAAAAGAAACCATAATATGAAAAATACATTTACTAAGCACCTACTGTGATCCAAAAAAACATTCCAGCCTCTTTCATATACATTATCATTTAATCCTTAAAAACAACCTTTTAAATCTCATCAGTCTTACAAGAAATCTGAGCTCATAAAAACTAAATAATATGAGGAGTCACACAGCAATTAAGTGCAAAAGTGAGAACAAGGTCTCTTTAGTTGTCTACCTCTATTTTTCTACTTCATTGGTGTTTCCCCAAAGTATGGTATGTGAGATAATTTTAGATGATATGCAACAAATGTTTTATTTTAATAGTTATTGGTTTTAACTTGCATTAGAAAAAAAAATCACATAAAGTTATAATTTCAGGGATTATTCCTAAGGATGAATGAGATTAAATAATAACGAGACTTTTTAAAAAGTTATTAAGTCAATGAAAAAAGAGCCCTCATGATGGTATGCACAATGTGGTTAGAAAAATGTTACTAAGCAAGTGGTGCTTCTGAAGAATGCACCACTCAATGTTTATGTTTTTTGACTTAAAAAAACAAAGAGATAAATTTACCAGTAAAGTTGCAGACATACCTGACATAGTTTGATCAAGTTTGTGGATAAGAGACTTTTTAGCACATTCAACATCAGGACTTGGGTAATCCAAAACTTGCCTGCACCATACTAATGGACTAACCGATTTCTGCATTGGTGTAAGTTTTTTCTTTGGTGATGAATACAGCCTAGAAGAAAACAAAACAAAAAATAAAAACAAAGGGAACATTCATTACTCAGAATAATCTTATAAAGTAGGGATCCTTATGGATAAATCTATTTTAAAATGTTTTATTAGTGTATGGTAGTTACGCATAATATTGGAGCTCATTTTGACATAATCATACATACATGGAATATAATTTATTACATTTCAGTTCTCAATACTTGCTTTTCCTCTCCCTTTGTTCCCCTTCCTCTACTCTACTGGTCTTCCATATATGTGTGAATGATATACATGTGCACTCAAAATACATGTATATAAAGGTGAAACTCACTGTGGTACATAGCATAATTTGACCAATTTCAGTGCTTTCTCCCTTTTCCCATCCCTCCTCTCCTCCACTCTGTCCCCTTCCTCTACTCCACTGATCTCCCTTCTATTTTTATGGGACCACCCCTTCCTTTATTTTTTCTTATTTTGCTCTAGCTTCCACATGAAAGGAAACATTTGATTCTTGACTTTCTAATTCTAGCCCATTTCACTTAGATGGCGTTCTCCATCCATTTACTGGTAAATGTCATATTTAAATGGCAGGAGGGAGTAAAAGTAAAGGAGTATGTTTAAAGTCACCCATATTTACTTAGTGCACAAGAAGAAAATGATACCATAATGATCAACAGAATGCCAAACTCAAGTGCTAAATGAACCCACATGAGGCATTCCTACAATGTACTAAATTTTTCTATTTTCATTATTAGAACTAGGAAGAAACATCTGTCTTTACAACAGTTTATTCTGTTTTCAGTAGTACATGACTAACTCCCTAATACAGGCACATCATCAAGTCTAGTCTAGGAGGCAAAAGGAGGAGCTAAATACTTTGCTCTCTGCTTTCCATCTCCCTTCCCCCCACAAGCTCATAGAAAAATCTACCATAACAGTTGTTAATCTTCTTTTCAAACAATTGTACATCTGGAAAGGCAAGTGTTAAAACCTTAGTAACGTAATGTAAATTAACTTACTATAAAAGAAAAGGACAGTATTTAATAAACCCCTGGGAAAGATGTACCAAAGGGGAAAAGTGAGCAGAAGATATGGGAGAGAGATGTACTTAAATTTCCTACTTTATAGTTTTTACTCAGATTAGTCTAGATTATGTTGTTAATAATTATTTCAAATGTGACTCCACATAAAAAATGTGAATAGTTATTTACTAACTAACCAGGGTGGTTTTCAAATTAAGATATTTTAAGTGATATTTATGAAGTAAACAATTATGCTTTGATATATTTACAGTTTGATATGTCAATAAGACAAGGAGCTAATAATTTACATGTTACATTAATCAAATTAGGGCAATAACACAAAATGCTGGTCTAGTATAAATATTTAAATAAATACATTTCTCTTTTTAAATATTTTTTAGTTGTAGATGGACACAATATCTTTATTTTATTTATTTATTTTTATGTGGTGCTGAGGATCGAACCCAGTGCCTCACACATGCTAGGCAAGCGCTCTGCCACTGAGCCACAGCCCCAGCCCAAATAAATATATCTTTACAGTAGCAGAATAGACAAATTATTTTTAGTAGCAATATGTGGTACCTTTTCCATCCCTTCTCTCTTCTTTATAATTTAGGTCTATTCTTACTCGGCTTGATCAAGATAATCAAGACTAATGCAGTAAATGATAATTTCTTTAGTCCACAATCCATATTCATTTGGACAAGGATATTGAAATAGAATCTCAATAAATAACTCACTAAAAATTCAAAATGAAACTAATGGGGTTTTCTTTCCAACCTAAATACTGTCAACATTCCATGACAGATCTCTATCTCAGCATCTAATCTTTAAAAATGACTATAACTGTTATATACTGATCCTTTATGTTAGCAAACATAAAACAAAGTAAACCTCTATAGATGCATAATAAACATTAATAAAATCACTTTATCTTATCACCATTTTTTTTTCCTGGTACTGGGGATTGAACCCAGGGGCGATCTATCACCGAGGTACATGCCCAGACCTTTTTTTTTTTTTCTGAGACTGGGTCTTGCTAAATTGTCTGGGCTGGCTTCAAATTTACCATTTTCCTGCATCAGTCTCCCAAGTCTCTAGGATTACAGGCTTGTGCCACCAAACCTGACACTATTCAAACTCAAGTGCTAAATGAACCCACATGAGGCATTCCTACAATGTACTAAATTTCTCCATTTTCATTATTAGAACTAGGAGGAAACATCTGTCTTTACAACAGTTTGTTCTGTTTTCAGTAGTACATGACTAACTCCCTAATACAGGCACATTGTCAAGTCTAGTCTAGGAGGCAAGAGGAGGAGCTTAATACTTTCAATTTTTAAGAAAGATTCCCAGGCTAGGGATGTGGCTCAAGCGGTAGCGCGCTCGCCTGGCATGCGTGCGGCCGGGGTTCGATCCTCAGCACCACATACAAACAAAGATGTTGTGTCCGCCGAAAAACTAAAAAATAAATATTAAAAAAATTCTCTCTCTCTCTTTCTCTCTCTCTTAAAAAAAAAAGAAAGAAAGAAAGATTCCCCCTACACTGGCTGGTTTTATATATAATTTACCTACATGACTCATGTGTAGTGCATATGTCATTTACTGTTAGCTATAAAACTCATGTTCAAAAGTGCAAAGAACAAGCCTCAAAAATATTAAGCTCAGTGAAAGAAGCCAGACACAAAAAAGTCACAATTCCCACATCTTAATATTCCATTTATATGAATGTCTAGAAAAGGATATGGAGAAGCAAATAGATCAATGGTTACCCGGGGCTAGAGGCGGGTATGGGGTTTCTTTTTAGGGTGATATAAATATTCTAAAATTAGATGGTATAGTATGGATATGGCAATGATTTGATGGTTGTGAATATACTAAATTAATTGAATTATACAATTCTCTGAATTTTGTAGTATACAAGTGTGGGCAAATTTTATGTACTATAAATTATATCTTTATAAAACTGCTTTTGGAAAGTTACAAAGTGCTTTTAGGATCTTTAAAAACACAGAAACTACTATAAACTAAATGAATAATTCAAAATCAAATTAAAACAGCATCATGACCATGAATCTCCTGTAGCATCTTTCCTGTTTTTGTCAATAGTATTATAATTCTTTCAGTTACAAAAGCTAAAAACTTACAAGGAATTTTGGATTTCCCAATTTTTTTTTTTTACTTCCTATCCTTAGCAATAATCTGTCACCATGTCCTACCTTTATAAACTACCTTTCTGCCCTTTCCTATATTCCCTCCCCAAATTGGGAATAGAGAATGCTTCTCCTCCGACAGTAGATGGAAGTGACTGGAGCAATTTTTCATTCCTACAATGATGAAAAGGAGAATGACTCGACAATCCCTGATACACCAACCATCTCTATCACTCTCCCCTCTTATTTCAGTGTTCCCAACACTACTCCAAGTATAGAAATGAATGTGCCACATAATGTTGGCATAAAATTATTCTTTGGTCAGGAAATCTTTGGTTGAGGTTTCAAAGTATTTCTAAACCTGCCAGAAGACACATGAGCTGGGCTGTTCATGTAACTGGATCTGTCTTTAAGAAGGAAAAATTATGTCCCTGAATTTTAAGGAAAATTCCAAATAAAAATATTTGCAACCACTATACATGTCATCTCCTTTGCTTGTGTCTTTGAAATACACAGACTTCTTCAAAGTAACCATTTTGCCTACTAAAAAATTTTTTTCACTGACCGTTTTGCATTTCTTAAAACCTAATGTATGGTTTGAGCGACACACTTCTGATAGACATAGGCAATTAACTGATGACTCATATAATTCTACTGGTTCATATCTGTCAAGTTTTCACTTGCCTAAAAAACTTGAAACATTACCTCATTATTCTATTACTATTACAATTAAGTCATAGAGCTACAGCGGGGAGCTGAGACTCCATGTGCACAAAGAAGGCATTTGGAAGTAGGGCATGTTGTCTCCCCTTTCCCTACCCTCACCCATGAGTGAGGCCTGAAAAGCAGCTGATGTTACATCCTGTCTGTGAGGAGGTGATGTGAGCCAGTGCTCACTTTTGCTCAGGTAGTATTGGCAGGATCTTGCAGGAAGGTGAAAATTCACCCCAATCTAGATCTACACATAACATTGTAAGGTCATTGTTTGCTAAAAAAAAAAAAAAATGAAGAAATATGTTCAGAATGTGACTGGAAACGACTCTTCATAATGAGAACACAGTTAAAGAAGAACAAAAAACAGAAACAAATATATTAATTAAAAAAAAAAAAACAGCAAAATGACAGCCATAAAACAGACCATATGAGCAATCATATTAAATGTGTATGGGCTAAGCACTCTACTCAAAAAATAGTCAGACTGGATTAAAAAAAATAAGATCCAATGACATTTTGTCTACAAAAGAAACATCTTAGATTCAAAGTCACATGTAGGTTGAAAGTAAAAGGATGGGGAAAAAAGCCATGCAAATAGTAACCATAATAGAGGTGGAATGGTTATGTTAACAAAACAGATAATAAATAATATTATTAGATACAGACATTTCAAAACAGAGAGAGAATACAGCAATTAGAAATGTAAAAACACCTAACAGAAGTGAAAAAAAAATAGAAAATCCAGAAATTTTGTTTGAAATTTTCAATAGTCCACCATCAATAACTAAAAAAAAGGAACTACAAGAAAAAAGTGGGGCTAGGGATGTGGCTCAGCTGTAGAGCACTCACCTAGCATGTGCAAGGCTCAGCACCACATAAAAACAAAATAAAGATACTGTGTCCAACTACAACTAAAAAATGTGTTTAAAAAAATATTAAGGATAGAGAAGATTTGAACATTATTTATGAGCTTTATCTAATATTTATGGGACATTACACATAACAAAAGATACACATTTTTTTTAAGTACACAGGGAACATTCTCTAGTATAAACCATAAACCAAGTCTTACTGAATTTCAAAAAATTGAAATTCATCAAAGTATTATGTTCCAATCAAAATGGAATTAAATT